CAGGATCCTGAGCCGGCCTTAGCCTGGAGAACGTTCTCGGAGAGCATGGCCCGAACCAAGGTCTCAGGGCTTGCTGAGTTCAAGGGGGTTTTAGGGTTTAGGGTTTAGGGTGTAGGGCAGTGTAGGGCAGTGTAGGGTTTAGGGTTTAGGGTTTAGGGTTTAGGGTTTAGGGTTTAGGGTTTAGAGATAGTTTAGGGTTTAGGGGTTAGGGGGTTCCAGGTCGAGTGAAAATCGCTCGGCAAGTCGGCTTCTGGTTGCTCGCGGCGCTCACCGGAGACGTACCGAAGTGCATACTTGGCCATGTTAGACCGGCTATTCACCCCAACATCACAAAGACAAGTGGCCCGTCCTTGGGCTCGAACTGAGCCCTATGACTCCCGCAACACGTCACACCTTGCACCCCTAGCCTGGAAATCCACAAGTCGGCGCGCGAGCTCCTACAGTGACATGAACAATCGCCCACGCGGCCTCCGTCTTGTGATCTTTGAACCGCTGCCATCTCTCATGTCGCTCCTGCGGTCGGACGAGGGGGTTACAGGGGTTGAAGGTTGCAGTGTTTCGGTTGTGCATGCCATGCTTTGCGGCCACTTCAACATTTCAACCTTTCAAGGGGCAAGGTGAGAGGAGAGGGAGGGAAGCGAGGAGAGAGAGAGAGAGAGACACGGCGGCAGACGGACACGGAGAGACGGAGATGGCGATAGCGAGGGAGAAAGATAGAGAGAAAGATGCAAATCTCGCACTACAACTGAAATGGAGGATGGAGGACGCAACCAATGGACTTCATGGCTGCGTTCTAGTCAGGCTTTCTTTAGCTCTCCCATGGCTGCGATTCTGCCCCAATTGCCTTAAAAGCAGGACCAGCTTCACTCAGGCTCACTCTAGCGTCTAGAGAAAAGAACCTACGAGTTTGTCTTGAAGTGAAACGCCTCCATTCTCCCTCTCATCCCAAGCCCAAGTCCCAAAGCCAATGCAGCCCTAAGCCCCAATCCCACACAGCAACAAGCCTAACAGACAAAGACTCTTGTTGGTGAGGGGCGGGGAGGAGGTGTCCTTGAATCGCACTGCGTCGTCCTCGCGCATTTTGTGCACTCTCTCCCTGGCGTGAAGGTGGTCGGTGATGGGCGGCCGCCCGGGGGATTTCTGCTACCACAGTCCGGCACGCGCGACAACAGCGGTGCGCATTGCTGTTCAAAGACGAGGCCATCCTGGTCAGTGTGCCAAACAGTGGGACCAGTTGTCGGAACACTGTCGGGGTGCTGCTATTTGAACCCCTAAACCCTAAACCCTAAACCTTAAACCCTAAACCTATTTGAATCCTGGTTGTATAGTTGCCCTTAAGAGCCCTTTACGGAGTCCCAGGAGTGTCCCACAAGCGCGTCAGGCATGCAGCTTCGCCTGCAGCTCCTTCATCTTGCGGGCCCTCTCCGCCCTCCGTGGAGAGCTCAGGTTTAGGGTTTAGGGTTTAGTGCTTCGGGGCTCTCAACCTCGTATCCAAGGATCCTGGAGGCCTGGAGGCAAGCATCCAATCCAGAACCCCTCTTTGGACCCATCTGACATGAATAACCTCCCAAATGCCAAGTTCGGCGGGGGGCACGCTAGACGTTGAACTCCAAAATCTCCAAAAGCTTCAAAGTGAGACTAGCTGGTGGTGACTCGAAACCAGCTCCCGGGCTCTGAGCCCTACAAATATTCCGAGTAGCCCCTTATAGCTCCTATATTGACCTAACAGTATACCAGAAAACAAAGTGTCCACAGACCGCGGAAAAGCGCCATTTCTTCCTCAGAAATCACTCTTCAATGAAGCGGCAGCACGAGTTCCTAACTGTTCCGACATGTCCTTGACTTCAGCACTTCTTGTAGTGTGGTACGAAGTGTTACTATTTGCTTAAGAACCCCCCCCCAAAAAAAAAAAAAACCTACATTACCCTTATAAGGAAGAATATCTTAGTTTTGAAGGGGTTCTCAAGCAATTCGTAGCGTACAAACTCAGCCCAGGCCCGGGCTCTTGCTTGTCGAGCTTTGCAGCTGCGGTGCCCTTGCGCGGAGACCTGCTCAGGAGGCTTGCATTGTTTGTTTGCATACGTGTACACACAAATAATCACACATGTATAACACATACACCTTTATTACTACAAGAAGAAGAACAAGAAGAACAAGAAGACGAAAGAGCAGAAGAAGAAGAAGAAGGAGAAGAAGAAGAAGCTTCGCTGCAACCAAGAGGCGGCGCCGACTTGGCAAAGCTGCTGGCGATGCTCGTTGTCGCATCACCTGGCATGAGAACTCGACATAAATCCGGCGAGGCCCCCAATTCCCTCAACCGCCAAGTTTAGGGTTTACTGTAGGGCTTAGGGTTTAGGGAAGGCCCCAAATCTCCTACTTGCAGCATGTCTATCTCTAGGCTTGCAAGGCGTTCAGGAAGTGTAGGTTCACCCGGACGCGCTGTTGCTACTCATTGGGCCGTGCTCTGCGTCTCCGTGGGCTGCGCGTGTCAGAGTGGACGAGGCTTATGGTGCTGGCAAAGAATGTAATTGAACGCTGAAACCCTAAACCCTAAACCCTAAACCCCTAAACCCTAAACCCTAAACCCTAAACCATTATGATGCAAACTACTTGGACAATACTCAGTCAGGCCTTCTTGGAGGCCCGCTTGCGATGGCACGAACTCCTCGCAGATGTCGACCAACTCAAACGGCTTCGATCATGCGAGTCGCACAGTATGTGCACAAGCATGAGCTACAGTAACATGACAGCATCCCGGCAAAAACAGCAAGTGTTCATCATCGTTCATCATAGCAAGGAAAAGCGAAGGCGAAGGTCTCCGAACGCAGGTGAGGTATGCCGGTTGCGACATAGGGCTTACCGTTCAAGATTCGATGCTTCTAGGTATTGTCCTTTACCGCGCTCCCTTGCAGCCGATGCAGGCAATGAGTGAGCTCCTTTGTGTTCGGCAGACCACCTGGCAGCAAAGAGTCGCTGAGATGTTTCCGAAATTAGGGGTACCTTGTTGGGCTCCTTTTATAAGGGAATCCTTTTATTTGGGGGGGTGTATGTTGGGGGTCCCTTGTTTCGTAAACTCCCAGGTCAGAGTCGCATCCCCACAACAGGTGCAACAAACCATCCCCAAGCTTTGTAGAAGCAGCTTGATGGGAATTGGACATGAAAAAGGCTTTGCAAACTGGACGGTCGGGAATTCCAGCCTGCTACTCGTAAAGGATGTATAAGCCGTCAAGTCTGGGTCTTGTTTATGTTTCCAACTTGCTGTCCTGGACCCTAAACCCTAAACCCTAAACCCTAAACCCTAAACCCTAAAGGACCAGGAAGCACATCTCCCAGTGCAATGGCTCGGTTACCCAGCCTCGTGGTCGGGGCTCACGTGCTGTGAGCGGAGCATCCACGGCACCTGGACGACTACCAGGATGGGCTATCACCCCATAATGAACCCTATAAAGGGCCGTTTAAGGGATTATAGGGTTTACGGTTTAGGGTATAATCGGCCATCCCGGTGCTGCTTGTACTTGCAGAGCGCCGCGTATCGGAACGCACATCGCGCCAGAAACGTTGTGGTATCGCAAGAACAGTTGCGCCCTGTGGGCTACGAGCACAGATCTTGCTAGGCAGGTAGGGATGCTTCACCAAAGTGGAGCCCAAAAAAGCTTAACGAATGTCTGCGTCTCCCAGACCCGAACTCACCCCCCAGCCAGCTGAGGACATCTCCTAGGTCGCCGTGGGAGAGCCGGGCGCCCCTGAGAAGGTGCACCAGGGTGCACAACACGTGGAAGTTGTGGAATGTAGAGGTCATCTGGGGATCTTTACCGTAAGGCCTTATGAAGACAGGACCATCGGAGGGTGGATCGGAGCGCATGATGGCCTCCGCACACCTAGCTTCCACAACCCCTCCTCCGCCCCCAGAAACCCCCAAGGTCCCACAAACCCCTCAACCTCCCCCCCCCCCCCCAAAAAAAAACCCAAAATTTCGCCAACAACCAAATTTCAAAGGGGTGCCTCGCAGTACGGGCGGCCTCCCTCGCCATGTCTCCACAGCGACTTCTATTGCCGAGTCAGGTCCGGACAGGTTTCGGGGCTTAGGCTTTGTTAACGGACGAGTGCCGCGGCAAAGTGGGCTGGATGAGCACTCGGGGTTTGAAGGGTAGGGCCATCTTATGTCTTACACTGGCCAGGAGCTGGCACAGGCCGTTGCTAAGTCTATCCAAGTCCTTGCAGCAGCAAAGCCTGCAGCGGAAGGAGCAATGGAAGGAAGGGCCCATGAACTAAGCTTGAGCATATGTTGACCTGCAGTGCCATGCCATTGTGTTTAGGGTTTAGGGTTTATTCCATACTGTTTAGCTTTAGCAAGTTTCCATATACAGTACGCCACGTCCAGGGCTTTGCAAGCCAATGCCCTACCCTCTTGAATCGCAGGCAATCATCTCAGTGCTTTGCACGCTGAAGGCCTCGAAACCTACATATGAGACCAAATGCGGACACATGCCAGCAGTTCTGCAACACTCTCGTAAGGCATAGCGCATGCCTTGACATGCCTTGTGTGGGGACGACACGAAGACACGGCGCGAGGCATGCACAAACAACGCTTGTGTAGGCAAAATTACGCAGACTGTCATGTAGAGAGGTTCCAAGGAATGGGCCCAAACGGCTAGGCTAGGTCCTCGAGGTGGTCCAAGAGTTTTGAGGCCAAAGGTTGCTGGCGTAGGTTTCAAGGAAGTTGAAGGCACTTGAACTTCAGGGCTTTAAGAACAGAAAGGGCTCGGCACAAAACCCCGTAGCAATGGCATGTCATCGTCAGCGCACAATTGCTTCGCCGCCACCCTTTTCTCACAAGGTCGAAGCAATGCAATGCAAAGCATGGCTTGCTCAACTTCGAGACCTGGAACCTTCAAGAGTTCATTAGGTTTCGGGGTGTACATCGGAAAGATGCGGAAGTGAGCAAAAACGACTTGCCAGCATCTGCTTGCACGCCTGACGTTGAGAAAGCGTCGCCCGGGTCAGACAAAGAACAAGTCCTCGGAACTTCTCAGCCGAAGCACCCGGACCTCAGGGTTCAGGGTTCAGGGTTTAGGGTTTAGGGGACGTTCGAAAGACTCGGGATACGACATCACATACATACATATACACCTACATGCAAACACACATAGATACGCGCATACATCCATGCATGCATATATTGCATGCATTACCCACGTGCGGCGGAAGGCGTCTGGAAGGCTCGCAAGGTGAAATTGAGGAGCTGCCTACAACATGGCCGTGTCTGCTTGTTCAAGAGTCACTCAGGGAGAAATGTCTTCGTTTTCGTCACTGGGCCACCAGCTCTCCCTCGTCGACACTCGCGGTCATGCCTCAGCCAGGACTGTGCGGGGTGAATGATGGATCCTCACCTTGAACTCTTGAAGCGGAGACGAGGATACCATGTGGGCACGGCCTGGCGAGAACGCACAGCGTGCAACCACAAAATCAGATCTCTTCGGTCTTGACCCACGCAATAGACCGAACTGCATTCGGAGAGCTTCGGGACTCGTCAACCTCCAACCTCTGAAAGCCGAGCCATAAATCAAGTTGGAGGCAGAGGCGTATAGTAACTGGAGACAAAAAAAGGCGTATACTCCCCTTAGTTACCTAAATAAAAATAATAGTTTTCATGTCCTCTTGGGTTTTATATAAACAAAGACGGGAGATAATTCCCAAGGGGGACATAGAGGCAGGCGTGAGTCGACTAACTCGGGAGCAAAGCATGACGCGAGTCGAAAGACAGGCGTCGGGAATGAAGCATTCAAGCGTTCAGGACTTCGAGCTCTTAACTGCACATGAAAGCCGAAACCCTAAACCCTAAACCCTGAACCCCAAACAAAGAGGTCGGGTTCTTGGGTCTGCCACCCCAAAAAACTCGTGGTGTGGCAAGAGCCGAGGCTGAAGCCGTAGCGCCTTCTCAAGCCTCCACGCGCCGTGCGGGAGCAAGCAGCAGCGTGGTGATTCTAGGGTTTAGGGTCAGTTTAGGGTTTAGGGTTTAGGGTTTAGGGTTTAGGGTTTAGGGTTTAGGGTTTAGGGTTTAGGGTTTAGGGTTTAGGGTAGACATGCGGCTTGAAGGTTCGAGACTCGGAGTCGGCGGGAATAAGGTTTGGCACACTAGGCCTGCACTGCCCTTGGCAATGGGTTCATGATGGTTCTCTTGGTGAAACAACCCGGTTTAGGGTTTAGGGTTTAGGGTTTAGGGTTTAGGGTTTAGGGTTTAGGGTTTAGGGTTTAGGGTTTAGGGTTGCAGAAACAACCCAGCAGGTAACAACGGAACTCTGTTGCAGCACGCGCCTCGTGGCGATCTCCTCATTGTTTATAGGCCTGGCTAGGGCACTGATTGATCTTTGTGGCACAGATATATACCGGGCTTTCTTGCGATGCACGTGCGAAACTGCAACATTCTCTCAGCACTTTTTGCTGTAGCAGTGTCCTCAGCATGATGCAACTCCTTGTCTGCAAACTCGGGAGGCCCCCACAGTCAAGAACAAATCGGGCAGCACATCGGTCTTGCTTCCGAAGCTGTTGAGCCCGGGCGCTGTTGAAAGGTAAACCGAAACTTCCGTCACTCTCAACGCTTATGCCTTCGCAGCATACAAGCCTACATGGTTTATCATGCTTTTGCTTTGCTTCGTTGGTTTGAGCACGCCATACTTGCTGGGTTTGGCTCTTCAAGTACCGTTTCATGCCATGTCGGGTGTTCAACGTGGGCACTCAGGTTCCCTAAGCACTAAAACCCTAAACCCCTAAAACCCTAAAACTCTATAAACCCCAAGCCCTAAGCCCTAAACCCTAGCCTAAACCCTAAACCCTAAACCCTAAACCCTAAACCCTAAACCCTAAACCCTGCAGGCCACTCCCGCGGCTCCCTCCCCCCAAACGGTGCTGCATGGACGGTAGCCAGTTCATGGCAGCTTCCGCCCGCATCGCCTTGCCTAGCCGCTGGACTAGCTCCTGCCAGGTCGGTTTAGGGTTTAGGGTTTGGGGTTTAGGGTTTAGGGTTTGGGGTTCAGGGTTTGGGGTTTGGGGTTTGCGCAGCTATGAGGGTTGAGAAACTATAGCACCCGAAGACGACACTGGGTGTGCATTTCGAGTGGCTTGAAGATTCTACGAGTATGTACTTGGTAAATCTTGGCTCCGCCCCAATATGTTTGAGTCTTGTCTTGCTATCGCCTCTTATTTTGTGTTCGGCTTGAACGCGTGGTTATTTTGTTTATTTGTGCGTCTTGGCTTGATGCGCGGCTGCTTTGCTTATTGGCGTTCGGGCCGTTCGGGCTTAATGTGTGGTTGTGTTGCTTATCGGCGTTCGGAGCTTCGAGCTAAGGAAGCAGGCTGCAGGGAGTCAATTCACAAATACTTCAGGGATGTTTCACAGATCCTGGATTCCTGGAATAAAGAACTAGCAGTAACTAGCAAGAAAGAGCTATTCGCTGATTTCCAGCCAATCAGGACTGTTGTCTTACTGCAGAGTGTGCTTGGGTGCACGCTGTGTTGGTTCGCCTTTGCCGAGGGATACGCGGCAAAGCGGGATGGCAAGTGCATTCTTGAGCTTCACTTGCGTGATTGACAGAAAGAAGCCGAAGAAACGATGCTTGCAAAGTAGCTCTCTAAACAAGAGGAGCGACTTCGCTGTACCAAACATGAACCTGAGGATCTCTCCATGGCCCTGCCAAGCCCCAATGCCGCAGCAAACGCCCTTGAAAAGTATGGTGAGCAGTTCGCAGAAGCAACGGAAGCCTGTGAACACTAATTTCACAACACTATAACATGATACTAAAAAGCTTCATAGATAGGGGTTTACCAAACATAGGGGACCCCCGACTAGAAACCCCTAAGTAGAAGGATCCCCCTTCTAACAAGGACCCCAAATAAGGTGCCCCTGAGATCGTAAACCCCCAAATGGCTTCATAGAGACACTATACTCCCCTTAGAACCTTAATAAACATAACATTTTTAACATCCTCTTGGGTTCTACAAAAACAAAATAAGAGCAATTCCCAAGGGGGATATAGGAGAAGCTCCACTGTGCTTACCCTAAACCCTAAACCCTAAACCCCAAACCCTAAACCCTAAACCCTAAACCCTTGCTGGGTCCCGCAAGTGGCCTGGTGCGGCCTGGTGCCTGTCACTAGCTGCGGCGCCGCGCGCCGCAGGAGTTGGCGGAGACCGGCCTTCTCCAGTTTGCGCTGCTTAATGGAGTTTAGGGTTTAGGGTTTAGGGTTTAGGGCGTAGGGTTCAGGGTTCAGTAGGGTTTACGGAACTCGGAGGGGTGCAAGGGAATGAAACATTGAAGTCTCACGGTTTCAGCTCGGGACTTGGGACTGCAGGATTCGAGCAAAGCTTCCAAGGCTTCCTCACATTCTACAGAGCGCGTCTGTATCGAAGTTGTTCTGGAGGAGTTGTGCTACGACGGGCCAAGATGCTGACTTTGGAATTTCGGTTCAAAGGTTGCTGGCTTTTCGCAAACGGATGTCTCAGCCTGACCTCTGCAAGAGGATCCTTGAAAGTCTGCGCGTTCGGGGTTCGGGGCGGGGTTCATTTGAAGCTGCTATTTTTTTGGTAATTAATAAGCGAGGTTCTGGTGTGGTGGACATGGGCAATATCAAGAAGCCTACACGCTGCAACGGACAAGATGTGAAAACAAAGGGCCCCCCAGTGCCCTCAGCTCCGGCTCAATTGGGCAAAGGGTGATAAAGCGCACCGATGAAAACCTAGCCCTAAACCCTAAACCCTAAACCCTAAACCCCCCTTTCGGAGAGATACTCGTACAGCTGAGGTGCCGGCGGCATCGTTGAACCGGGCTGGCCGGCGCTCTCTGCGCAAGCGGCCTGCGGCCAGGGTGCCTATAAAACTCTTCAAAACTTCTACTACTGACTCCTTCACTCCTGCTTTTAGTGTAAGAGGTGTGATTTAGAATGCAAGCAAGGATGCCAGTAAGCCATGAGTAAGCATACCGGACGGTGCAAAAAGGTCATGACTGGCAGCGCAACATGTGTGAGAGTACCGGCTTGCAGGAATACAAAGCGAAATCAACCGTCACAAGACCTAGGACAGAAATCTTAGCGAGTCTGACTACAGCAAAATATCAGAATCACTTTTCAAGAGCGTTCACATGCCAGAATCCCCCTGACGCTGTCTAGTGTTCAACAGCAGGCTTCTGCTCAGACTTCCAAAGCATGAGCAACTGTGGAAACCTCGATAGCTACAGTAATTGAGCGGAACATGTGGGATTGTGAGTGATCGTCTGTGTGTCGTCTGTCTCTGTACCATTGCAGCTTTTTGCGGGGTGAACGTAGTCTGCGTGTGTGGCTCTGTGTTTGTGTCCGGCATCTCTGAGGCACCCACCAGACAACAACGATCGGTAGAGTTGCAGCCTCCCACAGTACAATCTTAGGGCACAGGTGTGATGCAAAGAGCTTCTGCCGCAAGATCTTTGAAGAATGTGGGGCATGGAAGAACCATCACTCAAAATCACTCAATCACTTCTGGCCTTTATCCAATGATAAATTCCCGAGCAACACGCCTCCAAGGGCGGCAATACTTAACCTTCAGTGCCGAAACTTCCGACACTGCCGAACCTGCTTCAGTCCAGGCCTAGTCTAAGTCGTGATTCCAAAAAGAGCCCTGAGCATGCCGCGCTGTTTGTTCTCGCCTTCAATTGACAGGTCTGAGTGTACAAGCACGGCGCCCAGTTGAGGGCCGCAAACAAACCTGCTAGACGAGCGCAGTTCCTCTGTATTCACCCCATTCGCAGCGTTGATCCCTGTAGCTTGTTGAATTCAGAGACCTTCTGGTTTCACGCCTTGTAGACCCGGGATTTGTGTGCTGTCCGCGCTACAAAGGAACCATGCTTGGCCAAGTGCAAAAGCGCTGGAGCTGATGCTTTTAGCATGTCAGACAGCGTGAGACTTGAAAAGTCAAGTCTAGGATCACAGACCTTAGGACAACGCATACAAGGTGCGTGTAGACAGAACATTCACTACGTTGACCAACCGTTTTGCGTGATGACCTTTACTTGCAAATTTTGCTGTTTTGATATTTATTCCTACACTCTACTAGAGGCTGCTTAGAGACATAGCTAGACGCTGCCTCGTCAGCTTCTCTTTTTGCAGCTGCTCCTGCAAAGGCTGTACGATTCTCTGTACCTCTGAGGCCACAACTTTCTGTACCTCTAGTCGGAGTGCGGGCGTGAGCTTACTGAGGGCAGATCCCGACGCGGATTTCACGGAGCTCCGCCGCGACGCGGCCGAAGCGCTAGCAGGGCGTGGCTTGGCCTCTGGCTTGGGCTCCTGGCTCTTTGGCAAGGATTTCGCGCCTGCGCTCTGCGGGCGCAGGGAGTTTGAGCGCTGCAGGTGCAAGGCCGACATCATGATCTCTTTCCTGTTGTACTCATCGCATGTTGCCCGGCAGGGATGCGCAAAAGGTGGGCGGGCCCACTCAACCTCCCGGCGCTCCGATCGGTTAAACAAGCGGTACGCAGGAGCACCAGTGTTCCTTCGTCGCTGCCTGACGACGTCATCTTCGGCAGTCAGCTTAGGACGGCTCCGTCGGATGAAGTCGCTTTCTTGCGTCCTCGCGTCTTGATGCCTTTGGAGCTCCTCGAAGGCCCTCTCGTGAGCACCCAGAAACCTCTCCACATCATTCCGCTCAATGTCCCTGTTCATACACTGGGCTTGCCGTGTGATGTCTTTGATGTCGCCGAAGCCCTTGCGATGGTTCCCGCACACGCTCCGGATCACGTGATTCTTGTCGCCCACCGCATCCATACCACCCCGCATCATGGCGCCACTGGATCTCCGACTCCTACAGCCCCCGCACTGCCCACCGGCAACGCGGGGCCGACTCGCTTGCAGGGCCTTGAGCCTTGAGCCGGAACTCGTGTTCTCGGGACACTTGCGAGCATCAGCCATCGACCCCCAAGATATGCACGGGCAGCGCAGAAGGGTCATTGCTGCCCAGCAGCGTAGCCTCGCATGTCGTTCTTTTCCAGGGGATGCTGTCGGTTAGCCAAACATGGCAAAGGTTACTCATGAAGGCCAGGACATCGGCCCTATCCCACCAAGTTAGGATGGTAACAAGTAGATACGTACAATTAGCTCCAAAGCTCCCGCACCAAACCCCAAGACTCTGGACCCTCACACGACAACCTTGGGAATCGCAGAAAACCCTACTGACCACATGGAGCCCCAACCCCCCCTCATGAGCTCCCGGCGCCTGGCGAGATGTTTGGACGCGACTGGCCGGCGCCACGGCATGCGATGACTCTCCAGGGGCACCCTAAACCCTAAACCCTAAACCCTAAACGACTCCAGGGACGTTTAATCTCATGAATGGGGGGCCCCGCTGTTTTTATAAGGGAGACTGAACAGGCTCCGGATGGCTCCTCCCCTGCCCTTTTTGGGGGAAAGCGTACACAGGGTTTAGGGTTGGGGTTTGGGGTTTAGGGTTTAGACTCTCCTGATAGCCCGGATACTCCAAGAACCTAGGGTTTTAGGGTTTTAGGGTTTAGGGGTTTAGGGAGGTTAGGGGTTCAAGTATTTAAGGTGTTAAGTAGGGTGAAATTTGGGTTTGGAGGCTGGGAGCGGGGGGGTGGGAGGGGGGTCGCAGGCAGTCTTGACAGGTGAAGGGATGCGAGTTTCTCTAACCATTCTAACCCTTGGAAGGGCGTGTGAGGCCATCAAAGCTTCTAAGCTGTGCGGGCTTCTCATGAGGACACTTGATAGCATGAGCGCCTGCGTTGTGACGAGCAAGTATGCCGCAACAAGCCAACCACGAAACGTAGCCCCCCGGCAATGATGAATCGATGCTCTGCAGGGCCTCTGGGGTTATAGCAGAGTAAGACTAGAAGGGGGTGCAAGTGTCTTTCCGGGCAAACTGTGCTCTGTTGTATCCTCGGAAAAAAGTGCGCACAGTTCGAAAAAGGATCCCGACTCTTCGATCATGCACAGCACCTTGACACAAACAGTATCGTGCGCTACGACCGTATGAAGAGATTATCTTCGCCAAGCACCTATATACAGCTTGGCCTGCTTCTCTCGGACTACAAACTGACCGAAAGAACTCCAAACCGATTTGCGAGGTCTTCCGAGCTGTTTCTTCGTGGCGGGTGCGGAGCCACTGGTATATTCAGCTGCGTAAGCGTTGAACGCGTCTTTGTCATGCGCGGCAAGATCCTGGAACCTTGACAAACTCTGAGGTTTTCATGAATAGGGCTTCAGGCAACAGGTCATATGAATTATGGCATACTGTAGCTATGCGGCGTGGACTGCATGCACAACGACGAGAAGGAGGACACCCTTAAATCAGATCGCGACTTTCTCCGCCGATGAAGCTCCTATGTCCTAGGCTTTTGAGCGAGGATCTCAGGATCGATTGCCCGCTGCGCTGGCTCCTGTGTTTCATGCAGGGGGCCTCTACTTTGCAGGCTCGTATTTTCATGCCTGCGTAAGTAAAAATCGCCAATGCAAGCCCTATGTAGACCGTCACAGCGAAAAACGCAGACGTGATGAGGCCCTAGCAGCATTCCCTCGGAGTCAAGGGTAATGAACTGCGTCACATCGACGACTCCCTATCTGTATCATATCTTGTATGTGTCTAACTGTCGCAATCGAATGCCTACGTAAACACACCAGATATCACATTTCGTACAGTTAATGCATCCGAGGGTGCACTTTTCCAGACACTATTCAGGTTCGAGCTTTCGGGATTCTTGGGCATCATAATATTAAAAACAGATATATATATATATATATAGATATATACATATATATATATATATATTTATATTTATATTTCTCTCTCTCTCTCTCTCTCTCTAAATAGAACTAGGGAGGTGATGCTGCCAGTGTCGGCCGTGCGAGAAATGCAACACATAACGTGCCTCGGCAACCCTGACTCGGCGGCACCAGCAACCGCTAGCGAACCTGTGCCACTTCACAGCCCTTCATCCGTGCCTGGACACGATTACTCTACATGGGGGTCAAATTCTGCACCTCTTACTTCTACACCCAATATGGCTTTCTGGCCCTAGTACAGGCCCGATATAGCCCTTTGCACCTAAAAACCGGCTCAGCCACCCAGGCGCTGCTCCGTTGCAGGAGCAAGTCGTAGTGGTGATTTGCTCAGCTCAGGTAGCCACAGGCAACACCAACCTAGGTCGTCAGTAGACATAGGCTCAAGCTTCACCTACCTGACGACCACAGCAAGTCCCCCCCACTTCTCGAAGTTTGCCGCATTAACCGGAAGGCACTGGGATGAGCATGCCGAAACAACTGCCACACCAACAGTCAACCTTCATGGCTCTTTCCGGTATGCATCTGTCCGCACAACTGAGAACTTCGCTTCCCACCATACCACTTGCTTCGGGCATAGTAGTAGAAGAAGTCTGCGTAGAGCACCTCTTTCCAAGGCTAGAAGCCATCGTTGCATGTCAGACTTTTGGAGAGTGAGTCTGGCGGTTTATTCAGGCCGCGCGCACCTACACTGTTGTTCTGCCTGATATTGTGACAAGGACCTCCCCTGTAATACTAAGGTTGCCTCCGGGGCGAAACGTTTCTAATGAGATTCTACTGCGAATCAGGGAACAAGGTGTGGTTTCCCCAAAAGTATATATCAATGTAGAAGAGCTTTCAGATCGTACACAGTCCATGGTTTTTAAACATACTGAGCCTTCTAAACTTCAGGTGCTTAGAGAGGCAATAGAAGCGAGACGCAATTTGAAGTGTTTTAAGGACAAGACAAGTCTGGCGAACTTTGTTGCTTAGCCAGACACCCTCAACCCTACCCCCCTCAGGCCCCCCTCCTCTAGTTCAACTCGCTCAGCCGGGTTGGGCGCGGAGTGGGATTTTGCTCGTTGTGCCATCTCTGGGAAGAGCAACCACGACCGAGTTTAATGGCGAGGTGTCCTCAATTACCTGCGAGAAGGGGAAGATGGCTCCCCGGATACTATACTCCCCTTGGAACCTTAATAAAACTAATATGCTTAATCTCCTCTTGGGTTTTATATATACTAAAACAAGGCACAATGCCCAAGGGGGATATAGGATATATGTATGTAGGACCTTTAGGGTCTATGTGAGTATTCTCTTTCGGGTAGCAGTAGTAGTAATTGCAGTACTAATAGTAGCAGTAGTACTACTTTACTAGTACTAGTGCTAGTAGTACAAGCACTAGTACTGGTACTGGAACTAGTACGCGTACTAGTACTAGTAGTACTACTAGTACTACTAGTAGTACTAGTACTACTAGTACTAGTACTACTATTACTAGTACTAGGGCTCTGGTTGAAATGGAAAAGCCTTTTCCATTCCAACCATTTTTTCCCATTTTGAAATGGAAAAAAATGGTTGAAATGGAAAATCCTTTTCCATTTCAACCATTTTTCCCATTTTGAAATGGCAAAAACATGTTGAAATGGAAAATCGGGCCTGGGGGGAAAAGCCCCAAGCAATTGAAATGGTTGAAATGGTTGAAATGGTTGAAATGGTTGAAATGGTTGAAATGGAAAAGGCTTTTCCATTTCAACCATTTTTTACCATTTTGAAATGGAAAAAAATGGTTGAAATAGAAAATTGGGCCTGGGGTGAAAAGCCCCAAGCAATTGAAATGGTTGAAATGGTTGAAATGGTTGAAATGGTTGAAATGGAAAAGGCTTTTCCATTTCAACCATTTTTCCCATTTTGAAATGGAAAAAATGGTTGAAATGGAAAAGCCTTTTCCATTTCAACCATGTTTTTCCATTTCAAAATGGCAAAAAATGGTTGAAATGGAAAATCGGGCCTGGGGGGAAAAGCCCCAAGCAATTGAAATGGTTGAAATGGGTGAAATGGAAAAGCCTTTTCCATTTCAACCATTTTTTACCATTTTGAAATGGGAGAAAATGGTTGAAATGGAAACAAAATGGGAAAAATGCTAAAAATGGAAAAGGCTTTTCCATTTCAACCATTTTTTACCATTTTGAAATGGAAAGAAATGGTTGAAATGGAAAAGCCTTTTCCATTTCAACCATTTCAACCATTTCAACCATTTCAACCATTTCAATTGCTTGGGGCCTTTCCCCCAAGGCCCGATTCTCCATTTCAACCATTTTTTGCCATTTTGAAATGGATAAAATGGTTGAAATGGAAAAGGCTTTTCCATTTCAACCATTTTTTCCATTTCAAAATGGGAAAAAATGGTTGAAATGGAAAAGCCTTTTCCATTTCAACCATTTCAACCATTTCAACCATTTCAATTGCTTGGGGCTTTTCCCCCCAGGCCCGGTTTTCCATTTCAACCATTTTTTACCATTTTAGAATGGAAAAAATGGTTGAAATGGAAAAGGCTTTTCCATTTCAACCATTTTTTACAATTTTAAAATAAAAAAAATGGTTGAAATGGAAAAGCCCGGGCCTCCCCCCAATACTAAATTACGAGCCCGGGCCTCCCCCCAATACTAAATTACGAGCCCGGGCTCGAAATTTAGTATTGGGGGGAGGCCCGGGCTTGTAATTTAGTATTGGGGGGAGGCCCGGGCTTTTCCATTTCAACCATTTTTTCCATTTGAAAATGGTAAAAAATGGTTGAAATGGAAAAGCCTTTTCCATTTCAACCATTTCAACCATTCAACGATTTCAACCATTTCAACCATTTCAAAACGGTTGAAATGGTTGAAATGGTTAAAGTCCCGGCGTTAGGGGAAAGCCAGAAGGATTTGAAATGGCTGAAACGGTTGAAATGGTTCATTTTTTCAACCATTTCAACCATTTCAACCATTTCAACCATTTCAACCATTTCAACCATTTCAACCATTTCAAATGCTTTGGGCTTTCCCCGGGAGCCCTGGAATATCCATTTCAACCATTTCAACCATTTCAAAACGGTTGAAATGGAAATGGTTGAACTTTTACTCATTTCAACCATTTCAACCATTTCAAAACGGTTGAAATGGTTGAAATGGTTAAAGTGCGTA